CAAGAACTATGCTTAAAGGCATCTTTACTGCCCTCATCTCCTCATCTGCCACATAGTTGCCTCCTTTTCTACAAGCCGGTTCAGTTCTGCAAAAGCAGGTAAGTTAGTCCTCTCATGGCCTCGCAGTTTCTTATCATATACCATGTCCTAATGGCAATTAGGTAACTGGGTACATAATTACTTGTTTAATATTTTTTTCTTTGCCTGAGACTATAGTTAGCTTAAGAGCAGGTACCTTATTTATAAGTTCATCCCTGCATCCCCAGCCTCGGGTCCATATCCAACGTGCCAAATACATTCAAGAGATTCCTATTGAAGTAAAAAAACCATGAACAAGGATATTATTAATATACATACTAACATGGGGAGGGGAAGTAGGATCCTACTCTAAGAGTTGCAGGCAACAACTCAAAGGTACTCTTTTGGAACTAAGGAACACTGAGAGTGGGAGAAAATCCTTCCCTGGGAAGAGCACACCGACTGGGTATTCAACACCAAGTGGGCATCTCTGAAATCTAGACATGTAAGTAATATTGTACAGACAGAGCAAGTTGTATTTATATATTTGTGAAAAAACACAGAGTTATAAACAACTAAAGAAAAAGACACCATGTATTTGAGAGATATCAAGGGACGGTCACATGGAAATGGTTGAAGGAAAGAGGAAAATCATGAAATCTTAAAAAATTAAAAAATATTATAAAACAAAAGATTTATTATTACCTAACAACATGTGACCAGTTTACTCTCAAATCCCACAACTGCAAAGCAAAACATTCCTCATTTCACAGTTTCTCTGTATTAGGACTTGGAGAGTGGCTTAACCAGATGCTTCTGGAGAAGGCTCTCCTGTCATCCAAGCGCTTGTTGGAGATGGATGATGCCTTTTAGCATGGCTTACTCACATGGTAGAAGACCTCAGCTCCTAGACTCTCAGTGGATGTGGAGGAGGAGAAAAAGGAGAAGGGGAAGAGAGGAGAGGAGGGTAAGAGAAGAGAGGAGAGACAGACACTATATTACTTATTATGACCCAGTTTTCAGTATTCTTTCCACCATATTCTGACTATACATTCAAGCATTAGTCTGAATTTATAATGGAGATAAAAAGAAATGGATTCCACCTTCTGCCAAGATGCACATTTTAAAGGCAAGTATCTTCTAACCCTACTTTGCCTGGCAATATTTCCACTTGCAGGGACTAGGGAAATTATTCTTTTGGGAACAATGAAGCAAACATACAGAAATGCCAGCAAACTGCCTCACTAAGAGAAGCCATGTCAGACCAAGGAACAAAGACAAATAGGAAAAGAAGGAGGAGGTGAAAGGTTATTGTGAATATGTGTGTGTGTGTGTGTGTTTGTATACACACGTGTGTGTGGATAAAACAGCTTTATAAAGGAAGTCAGTGTGACAACATCATTGCAATTGTGCCCCTAGAAATGTGGCATCTTCATCAGAGACTGAAGCTCAGAGTTGTGAAAGGATCAGTAGTGTGAGGTAGGATTTTGGAACTTTAAGTTGGCTGGCCAAGGAAGTGAAAATGCCTAGAAATTTATGAAATATAAAGTGTTCTATTGCAAGGAGAGAGAGGCCACTTGTTTATGCCCAGCTGCTTAGCCCAGAAATAATCACACAGAAACTATATTAATTAAATCACTGCTTGGTCCATTAGCTCTAGCTTCTTATTGGCTAACTCTTCCATATTCATTCAATCCACTTCTATTAATCTGGGCATAACCATGAGGTCATGGCCTACCAGCAAAGTTTCAACACATCTTTCTCCAATGGCGGCTCCATGGCTTCTCTCTGACTCTGTCCTTCTTTCTCCCAGCATTCAGTTTAGTTTTCCCCACCTACCTAAGTTCTGCCCTATCAACAGGCCAAGGCAGTATCACCAATGGTTTTCACAGTATACTGAGGGGAATCTCACATCAGTGATACCAGAAAAAGCTACCAAAGGTGGCTTGGTCTTTTGTTTTGGTTGATGATATAGGGTCAGTCAAGAGGGAAATAATGAGGGTAAGGAGACAGAGGTGTAACCTTTGTGAGCAGTTCCTGTGGCTAATGGACCAGTGGTTATAAGACAGTGAGGGTATACTTCCACGGGAGATATTGGGACTGGACTTGGTCCGTGAAACCTGGGTAGTGGCAGAATTTCCAGGAACAAAGCCAGCCCTGTGGGCAATCAGAAACACGAGTCCGGAGTCAGACTGAAGCTCAGGTTTAAAGAGAAGGTGTTTCCTTCCAAACAAGTGGAGAAACAGTCACAGCCAGGCTGGAAGCTGCCATGTTACTGCAGTATCAGAAAAGAGGTTCCTGCTCCTGTTCTGTTTTATGAACTTAGCAACTACAAAATCCATGCTATGAATTGCTGTTTAAGCATCACTTTTCTTAAGAGGATTGTTCTGAAGAAAACATGCTGAAGTAGATATTTCAGTTCTGGCTATTGTCGTATTTTTATTGTTGTGACAACTTAACACAAGTTTAATGTCTTAGAGGCAGGCTGGTTTATTCTTTTGCAGTACTGGAAGTTAATAGTCCATATTTAACCCCAAACTCAGGGCTTAGGAAGTTTCAAGTCTTGCTTCTTCTTCCTTTCCTTCCTCTTCTCCCTTCTCATTCTCCTCCTCCTCTTCCTTAACTGTGGTCATTTTTTTACAAACAGAGCAACCACTAGGGTTGTAATAGAGTTTAAAGTCCTTCAAATCTACAGCTTCTTTGATCCTGCAAAAACAATCCTAAAGTGATATTGATGCTGACGTCGCTGTCATGAAAACTTACATCGCTTTTCCCTAGAGATTTCTGTTCAAAGAGTATGAATTATTGTGTTATTGCTCACTATTGAGCTGGGCTTGCTTAAACTTTTCAAACAAAGTTTGTGACTAGTTCTCCAGGGTCCTGTAGTTTTAGGCATAAGCATAGCGAAAGGGAATGCACAGTGCTGTGAATCAGGAATCAAATTTTAGAGAATTAGCCAAGCTACAGGCAATTTTGTTACTTTCGATGAACCTTTGCTGCCCTATTGGAAAACAAGAAAATTAGGAGCCATGGAGACCAATGATTAGATGGGAAAGATGACAGAAGTACCTGGCATGCTTGCCATCTAGAAGACACCCAAGAAAAGCTAATCCCAGTCATTTGGCTAGAGTTTTGCCTCACTTGTGTGGCAGGATCTGGGTTTGGCTCCCATCATCTACTTCCTCTCTTCACCCCCACTACCTTGTAGGTAAATAATAATAATAATAATAATAGAAAAAATGTTCCTCATTTGGCATTCGATTACCTTGTCAAACAGTGTTGATGTTCATAATATAAAATAATAACATATATAATGGTGATAAAAAAAATCTCACAGTTATAATCTAAAGCTTGGATGGGCCACTTTCATAGCTATCATTGGACACATACATACCACAGGCAACAGGATGGTCACAGCCTCTAGCCCATTTTTACAGCACTTTATCTGGGATGCCCACATAGGTTATAAACTCAGTGATGAGGTGCCATTACCTTTTCATCTCTCTGATCTTTAGAGGTGTGTGTGTGTGTGTGTGTGTGTGTGTATGTGTGTGTGTGTGTGTGCATAATTGCTTCCCCCATACTACAGATCCATCTGCTTTAGAAAATGCACATGCATCAAATGCTTGTTAAAGATTTTACATTCTGAGTGATCAACTTCCATCATCTAAGTAGGAGGTAATCTGAGGTTTCTCTCATTGACAGAAAAGACTCACAAAACAAAGACAGAGAACCCCTTTACACAGTGAATACACTGAGTACCGTATCTGTGGACACAGATTTATGAATGTGGAAGTTGAGCCTTTAATTTATGGTGTATTATTTCAAATTAATTTAATGGGTGCCCATTTGATGCTGCTTCTTAAATTATTTTGACTAAAAACGTTAATCTAATTCCAGCCCATGACATTGGTGGGGTAATTTTACTTACTAAAGGCATCCTGGATAAATAACACTCAATGCCAAAAACTTGTCAGAAGGAATGTAAGTTCAGTGAATCATTAGTGGGGGCTAAGTATATTTGTAAGCTTTAAATTCAGAAAAACCATAGGAAGTTTTTGATACCTATTTGAGCTTATTTATAAAGATTAAAGGATTTCCTTAGATCCTAACCAGCTCTTGCTGGTGTTTCCTGTGAAAATATTCAATATAGCTTTTGGTATGTTATGTATGTTCTTATAGAGACATGGCTACCTATATGTTACTTTTATATGTGACCTAATATTCTTAATTATAGCAGACACTGGGTTAGTCTAGTGGGAGGTAGAGTGAAAGACTCTTCTCCTTCACATTTTCTTTCCAAATAATGGCATATATCTTGATTTGAATCATCCCATCCTTAAGTACTACAAAGTATAATTATCAACACTCCAGACAAAACCATCTGTGTTAGGATCCCTTATACCAATTCAGAAACCCTCTGATTTCTCTAATTACCCCCAAGATCCTTCTACAGTTCTTTGTGCTTCTGAGATCATAGACTCAATTTAATCTTGTGGGTTTTTAATTTTTTGTATGATATACTTTCTTTGTCAAAGGTTATTCAAATCCCATTCCTGATTTGTAGTGATAAATACAAAGTAATTATATAGGCAATTCTGTAGAAGAAGGTCATTAATTTGAACGTTTATTTACTTATGTATGAGACAAGCTCTGGTTGGCTTGGAACTCACAGAGTCCCCTCAGTCTTCCTCTGCCTCCTGCATGCGGGGGTAAAAAGCATGTGCCAAGCCTGGTCTAAACTTTAGTTTGAAGAAGTGAAATAATTTGTTTAGGCTCTTCAGATAATTTCTTCAAAATGGTTCTAAAGACTTCCACCTTTGAATGTCTGTGGTTTTTTGCTATTTTAATTAATTTTATCTTTAAGTATTTTGAGAATTGTATTTTACGTACTGTTCTTGACCCTTGATGTGCAGAAAAGACCGTCACAGCCCAGCTCTCTTTCCCCTTTGTTTGTAATGTGCTCAGCCTCACAGCTCAACCCCCTCTGCTTGATTCTTTATAAGAACTCCTCTTTACTTTGGAAACTCAAATATTTAACCAGGCTACAACTAAGTGCTGACTGCCCTTGAACAGTTTTGCTTGCTGCACGATAGGCACCTTTGATTTGCAAATTCAGATCTTCAGCTCAGGCAAGTAAGTACCTTTCTATTGTGTCCAATTTTTATTTTGATTTCTCATGCTTCTCTTTCCTGTCTGTGGTTCTGATCTGGGAGAGTGACTCTTTCTCTTCCCTGGAGCTGCCAATACAGTTTCTTTAGTAATCCTGATTTTCATTATTAATCACAGTGAAGTTTTAATTATAGTAATATTGGTTCCTTCATATTCCACTATCTGTCTAGTTCCCTTTATTTCCTGGCATAAGATGAAGATCTAATCCTTCTCCTCTGTCTCGGAGGCTGCCTTATTGAATTTTGTTATGAGAACAGAGCAGCTGCTATCAGAACTTTATTGCTGATTTAATATAGTAGTTTTTTCAAGTGGCTGCCCTTCCTCCAGTTCTTGATTACAGAGCTATCTACCTTTGATTTGCAGAATGCTGTAATAGATTCTGTGTGGTTTGTCTGTTTTTGATCATGAAGAGATTGATTGAAGCCTGTTATTAAGTTTGAAATGGGAGGGCAGGTTTTGTATGGTCTTAGATTCTAGCATCCTTCAAGTGGCCTAATGGTGTCACCTCAGTGTTTAGGCTGGACGGTTTAGCTGGCATAGGTTTTTAGGCTGTTTCAGTGAGGACGCTGCCTGTTTGGGGGATGGATAAGGATTCAGGGATGCAGAGAGAGCAGAGGAACCTCTTTCTCTGTGGTCTGTTTCTTCCCTTGTGCTTGGCGAAGCTGTAGAAGCAAGAGTGTCCTGACCGTTGAAACAGCTGTGTCCACATTTTGCTTCCCAGTTCCCAAGTCCCTGCCTGCTCTCACTGATATCGTGGAAGAGTACTCCTGTGTTCAGGAGGTGATAGTCACTCTGGAGTTTTCCTTTAATGGGTTGCACTGATATTTAACCTCCCTGAAGGAACTGCTCAGAAAATTGCCATCCCTTGGTGGAGAAATGGTCCCTAATGGGTAATTCTCCATTTCTTCTAGTAGGAAGGAAAAGAAATCCAATTCAACCCTTCCCTAATTTACAGGCTGTAGATGGATTCTGCCTGTTAATAAATACTTAACTAAAGTTAATTATTGTTGAATTGCCATCCTACAATTTAAAGTAGAATTACCCCACCCCCCACCACTGAGCAAAGCAATCATTGAAAGTTTGTGGAAATACAGCTTTTAAAATAAATGTTTTCCCAACCAACCTAACAATTTCAATCACGATATTACTTGAGAATCTGCTGTTCACTCTTCAGCAGCAGGTTCAGGTAGAACGCCCTCTTGGGACTCATTGTTCCAGGTCAGTGAGTCATAGTGACCTTCTCCTTCAAAGGCAAAGCTGCCTGGGAATATGTTGGGAAAGGGGGACCAGCACTCCCTTACACAGGCTGAGCAATTGTCAGTTCGTGACTTAAAATGCTCAGAGGAGTGAGTTTAGATTCTAGACACTTTCCGAGAAAATCTATTCTAGTTAGCTCATTACTTTGTACTGCTGAGATCACAACAGACTGCAGCCATGGGACTCTTCATCAAACCCCTAGATTCTGACCTTGTCCTTCAACTTATTTGGGTCCTTTTGAGAGTTATGCTTCCCAGATCAATGGAGTTCTTAACATCCCTGTTCTGTGTGTTCTGTGTTCCAGTGCTGGGGATTGAACTCAATATCTTGTGTATACTAGCTTCGACTGAGCATTCTACCACTGAGCTACAACCCCAAATCTGATTGTCTTAATTAATCTTTGAGTCACACTAGACTTGTATAAAAAAACAATGTATGCATGAGAATAGAAAAGAAAATAAAGACTCAACAGAGTATCTAAGGAACCAAGAAAGCACTGAAATTAAGGTAAACAACTATGCAGACTAATGGCAAAAAATAAAAGGTGAAATTGTCTGAAGAAGAAATCCAAGTGACCAATAAGCATCAAAGGGACACTTGGTCTCACTACTGTCCTAAGAAATGTAAATTAAAACAACCACATATGTTGCAACCATTAATTGGTAGAACACAGTTTGATCACATAAAGTACTGGCAGAGTCATCAGTAGCACAAACATGGTCTACAGCACTAATGTTGGTGTGTGACTACTATGTGTTGTGGGATAGCCTTTTTAGTACACTGCAGATGTGTTTCTGCCTAAGGCGCCTGCTGATTGGTTTAATAAAGAGTTGAATGACCAATAGACAAGCAGAAAAGAAGAAGTGGGACTTCTGGGCAGAGATAGGAATTGGGGAAGAATCTGAGGTGTGAGGGGAATTAAGCTAGCCGTCCATGGAGAAAGTTGGACACTCAGAATGGAGAAGAGGTAAAGAACGATGTGGAAGAATATAGATTAATATAAATTGGTTAATTTAAGATATACGAGCTAATTGGGAACAACCCTAAGCTGAGGTCAAGCCTTCATTATTAATAAGAACTTTCTGTGTCATTATTTGGGAGCAAGTGATATAAGAAAGTCTGAAAATAAAGACTGGCTACTGGTATGTGTTATGGAAAATTGGGAGTACACAAAGCTTGGGGTCCTTAATTGAATTTCTGGACTTCCATCCTAGTAAAAGCTTTTCAAACTTGTGCAACAGAATAACATGCCAAGGAGTTCTCTGTGCAATATTATCTTCAGTAAAAAGATCAGGCAATGGTTCAAAAGTTCACAAGTGAGAAAAAGGCACTAACTTGTGATGCATTGATGAAAATGGCATGCTGCAGGATACCAAAATTAAATGAATATTCTCACTTGGCAATGTGGACAGATCATTAATGAGATAAAAGATTAAAATTCAATGCTACTTATTGGATCTAGAAGTGGTACACACAGTAATACTGTACAAACATTATAAGTATATACAGCTTTGTAGATACATAGGCTGTCAAGAGTAGATCCGATATAGTTTCCATTTGGAGTAAGTGTTTGTGTTCTGAAATTAGAGAGAGATAAATGTTTCTAAGGGTATAATGAAAGGTATCAACTTCCTTATAGTGCTGGTGTCTATTTATTTAAATAAGGGATACTGAAGTATCCAGAAATACAGTTCATTGTGACTGACAGGCTCATCACTAACTGTTGTCCTTCCTTTGCAGATGTTAGAGTATTTTGTATTTCCTTTGTAATCATTAGGATATTATTTTCATCAAAAGTATATCAGACCTTTACGCATTGGGTCACTGGTCTCCTGTGACTAAACTCTGTGGATCCTGAGCTGAAAAGTGTGGAGAGTCTTCTGCTGTTCCTGTACCTGGGAGGCTATTTCACTAGCTCTTGGTTTGGTGAGACACACTGCTTCTGACCATGTTCTGCTTAGATGCACATGAATGCCAGAACTCTGAAAAAATGATATTGTGTGTGTGTGTGTGTGTGTGTGTGTGTGTGTGTAAGAGACAAAGAGAGACAGAAATAGAGACAGAGACAGACACAGAGAGACAGACAGACACAAGCAGGCCGGAAGAAACAGAGACAGATAGAGGCAATGGGTTTGGAGGGTAAAACTGTCACTGGTCTTCAGATTTATCATTTTTTAATATTTGAACATAAATGCTAGCATACTCCATAAGTACAAGCAACTCAAATGAAGTCTTTCTGAACTAGGCCACCACTCATGCTTCTTCTGCAGGGTTATCTGGTACGATCAGGGAAATATCATCCTCAAACAGCAGCTGCTGAGCTCCATGGTTCCAAAGAGAACTTGAGTGATAGATACGCATTGCCTGACTTCCCATCCAATAACCCTCCTTTCTCAATAGCTAATGAAGGAGCCTTAATGTTGGGAAAGGTAAAATCCAGGCAGGAAAAACTATGCTTCTTTGGACCTGGCCAGGGTTATGTGAAGGGTTTTGAAGTGTTCTGAAAGAAATTTCTCTCTTGCCTGAGGCTGGAGTGAGGGCTCAGAGTGAAGAAAATAGATGAGCAGGAAGGAGGAGAGACTATTTCTGAAGTGGGGCGGGGGTTAAAGGAAATGGCATATCAGCTTCTTTTACAAATTGGGAAAGAAACCATTTGTGAAATCAATGGATGCTTAGCAGAGCCCACCAGCCATAGCTCAAAAACATCATTTTTATTTCTTTCAGACACCATTATTGCCAAGGTGGCTAAGCCAGAGCCTAACTTTCTAGGCCAGTACACGATCCTGGGTAAAGACATCATGGTGGCTCCGATGCAAGGGGAGGAATGGCATTCATATTTCATAGGAAAACAAGCACTACTTTCAGCATCTAGACAGCCTAATATGCTCCTTATCTGGAACTTCAAACCCATCTCCAATCTGCTTGCAGAGACTAACAGGAAGAGTGGAAAGACATGAGCTATAATAACCTGCAGGGGTGGGTGCAGTCACGCCGGCTGTGGAGTAGGTAGGATGCTCAAAGTGCCAGTGCCGAGCTGGGAAGGCTGGTGGAGTTTCCCAATGAGTGGTAAAGCATAGCTCACAGAATATGTTTGTAGCCATGCGAAACAGTCCGGGGGAGCTGAAATAAGACCCCCTTTCATCCTCCAAGTTATTTAGTGTCAAGAATGTTTAAATAAGAACAAGATGGAGAGCTCCTCAGGGTGTCGGAGCCAGAACAGAGAAGCTTTTACCTGAGGCATGGTGGAACTGTTCAGGCAGCCGCATTCTTGTGGAAACGTCCCCAGCCAGAGAGGTTTGGCTCAGCAAGCGGTGGCTGCAGAGCTGGACTCCGAAGTCTCCTACCTTTTAACCAGGAATATCTCTTTATAGGTTCTTGGAAAATTTGGATCTGTGTGGTCTGGCCTGGATACAGTATTGCATCTTCCTGTCAATAGACATACTGGGCTCTCGTATTTTGCTTCTAAGCAATTCAAATAGACCCTAAAATATTTATGGAGACTTTCAGGGATCACATAAATAATAGCACACTTCCCCATCTAGTTTTCGACCTCACTGAGAAAGGTACTGATGGAAATGAGATGGCTAAAGATCAAAATCCGAGTTCTACCGATAAAGTTGCATTTAAAACAGCCTGGATTTGTAGCTGCCAATAGTTTTCTATCGGAATTAAGCCCACCAACCAAGTAGCAAAGGCAGAGGGAGGCAGCCATGACCCTCTTACAAGGAAAAACACTTAATATACAGCCTGGGCCAGTGATGTTCCTCCTGGGAGAAGGTCAAACCCATCACCCCGTTCCCCCTTCCATCTCAGCTGCTTGGGGAGGCAAAGTGAGAGGAAGATGAGAAAGGAACAGGAAGGCTGAGGTGCAAGTGCTTCTCCCACACTTTTCCTGTTTAGGGTAAGTTTCTATAGAAATATCAAGTGTTATATTATCTGTAGCTAATTTTCTCACTGCCCAGGACTTCATTTTAACCCACATCCTTGCACTGAGGTTAGTTAACCTAGATAGAAACACAGAGCTCAGAATTGTCAGGAGCGCTCAAAGCCTATTCTGGGTTATAGAGAAGAGTAGTTGAACCTCATCAATGCCAGCACAAGCCTCTTATTTACATAGGTAAATCAAGCGTCCCAGCAGGAATCACAGAAGCAGAACCAGCAGACACAGCTTTTGCTCAGTAAACCAGGCTTCCTTCAATAAACTCTGTCTATTTCAGTGTTGGGGTTTTACCAGTCAACGTTTTGGAGGGATGGTGGTGTGTCCCATGTGACAAGCGCTGGGTGAAGGATGAGGGCTATCTCATTTCATTCTTAGTCACAATGAGATTAATAGCACAGCTAGTTCCATTTAATAGATGAGAAAAATGATGTTTGAAGAAGGCTTGTTCAAGACCATTGAACTCTGACACAGACCTTAGGTGCAAAGTCAAGGCCATACAAGATCATTAGGAAAATCCTGCTGGATCCTTCAATGCTCCTTCAAGGGAATCAGGATTGCAGTTCCACATTAGGGAGTGAGACTGTACTCACAGACAGTAAATGATCTTACTCAAAGATTCCCTCTGATAGTAGCTTTGTTGAATACTTTTTAGAAAAAAAAGAAGACATCAATTAGTGATTTATTTTCATTAGCACACAGAGTTACACATATTAGGTGCTCAATAAATGGCATAATAGAGCTTATGGCTTCGACATTATTGGTAATGAACACCACACATTTGGCTGGTTCGTTAAGCACACTGGAGTTACATTCAGCAAGAGAGTTTCCTATTAAGAAGTTATTAACTGCATAGAGAGATAAAAGGACAGGCTGAATGCCAGAATGTGGGATATTTTTAATTACATGAAATCTATGAAATCAAAGACTGTATGAAGTATTTTGAGGTCCCTGTAATGAGCAATTAGTCCTCTTTAATTCTAATTCTACACAGGAAGTTTGAACCTTCAGATTTTACAGGTGGCAACTGTATAGAACATTTCTCTAAAAAAGATCACTGCAGTTTTAATAGTGAAAGGACATTTCCCGGAATGGTTGTTGTGTGGGTAGATGTCTACTGTGTAAACAAATGAGCTATATTGCTGTCTATGGAGTAGACATGAGATTCACATTGACTGTCTGACAGGTTAATCCTCACTTTCTGCCCACTTTCAGTAGATTTTAGAAGAATACCAAGATTTCCTGCAGATAATTTTGCAAAAGGAGGTGGAGACTTTGAACCGATGATTCTTGATGTATCACTCTTCTAGAGTGTCTTGGGAAAAATTCAGCAGAAACAGAAAATGATGTTGATACTCTGGACCCAGGCTGGGCCACTGGAAGGACTTTTGCTGGGACGGACAGAGTTAAATGCTTTAAAGTAAAGGCAAAAGTAAGCTTTGCCCTTTCTCCAAATCTCACAGCTCTATTTTCAAATGTTACCTTTTCCATCAGGGATTGACTGACCAGGAGCCTTCCTGCCAGTGAGAAAGGCCTCAGGGAGTCTCTGAGCCACCCAACGGGAGCCTGGCCTGAGGAAATTGCTCTTTGGTTTAAACCATCAAAAAAATTCAATTAATTTAGAATCAGGAATTTTTTTTGCATGAAATAATTTGTAGCTCTGATTAAGTGTTAGAAATGGATTTGTGTTCCTCAAGGAGACTGGGGCTATACAATGGTTGCCTCTTGGGTGAACTGACTCAAGAAAATGCCTGCTACTCACCCCCACCCCCATCTTCTTCGTCGCATCTCTTTTCTGCCTAAGCCCACAGTTTTACAAGCTCTGTATGTCTTGAGTTTCTGGAGTCTCATAGAAATCAGAAAAAAGCATCCCAGCCCTGGTAGTCTGACCTTTTCATCATTGGTTTCACATAGTACTTTCATTTCTTTGACAGGAGAGTAAACCAAATATGGTTAGTGGTCTACTGCTGTGAAGATACAGCATGACCTAAGCAACTCTTACAAAAGAAGCATTTAATTGGGGACATGCTTACAGTTTCCCAGGGTTAGTACATGATCACCAGGGCGGGAAGTATGGGAGTAGGGTGGTAGACAGGCAAGTGTGTTGCTGTAGCAGTAGCTGAGAGTTCACATCTTCTGATCTGCAAGTTGCAGGAGAGAGAGGGGGGGGGATTGGGTCTGGTGTGGGCTTTAGAAACCTCAAAGCAGTGGCATGCCTTCTTCAACAAGACTACACCTCTTAATTATTTCCAAACAGTTCCACTAACTAAGGAATTGAGTATTCAAACATATGAGCCTATAGGAGACACTCTCATTTAAGATACCACATACAGCAATGTCTTTTTTTCAATTTGTAGCTTTGAGCTAGTCCCTGACACTATTGAATTCAGTGAACATCGAATGTCCAAATAAGCCACTAAAATAAGTGTAAAGTGGGCTACATTTGAAGGCAAGGATGTTTAGAGCTATTGTTGTATGAAAACACTAAAGTACAGTCTCAGTAGAGAAGAGGAGAGTAAGGAAGGAGAGTAAGGAAGGAGAGTAGGGAAGGAAAGTAAGGAAGGAGAGTAAGGAGAGAGGTGGAAAGGAAGATGTTGAGCCTGCTGTATGCCTCCAATATCACATCATTCTTATTAATTTTAAGACTTTTAGTATGTGTATGTGTGTGTGCTGGAGAGTTTTTACGTCAATTTGACACATCTGTAGTCTTCTGAGAAGAAGGAATCTCAATTGAGAAAAGTGCCTTTATAAGACTGGGTTTCAGGCAAGTCTAGAGGGCATTTTCTTAATTAGTGATTGATGGGAGAGGGCTCAGCCCATTGTAGGTGGAGTCACACCTAGGCTGTGGTGCTGGGTTCTATAGGAAAACAGGCTGAGCAAGCCAGTCAGCAGCTCCCCTCGATGACCTCTGCATCAGCTCTTGCTTCCAGGTTCCTACTCTGTTTGAGTTCCTATCCTGATTTCCTCTAGTAATGAACAGTGGAGGTGCAGGCCAAATTAAACCTTTTCTCCCCAAGTTGCTTTGATCACGTTATTTCATTGCAGCAATAGAAACCCTAACTAAAACGGTGTGCCTTTGCTGGTGGATATGTCATGAGTGGCAATGGGTTCCATGAGTACCCATGGAAGCCTGAGGTGTTGCACTCCCTGGCGTTAGAGTTACAGACAGTCATGAGAAGACTAATGTAGATGCTAGGAACTGAACTTGGATCCTCTTGAAGAGCATCAAGTGCTCTTAACTACCAAGCCATCTCTCCAACCCAATGACCATTCTTAAAATAGATGAATAATAAAGTTCTAGCCTTTGAATACTCAACAGCAAACCACCATTAAGGTTTTCTGGTTCTGCTGAGATCAGAAGCCATTCTATGAAGGGCAAAATCATCAGTCTGTATAAAGTAGATTAAGCTAATCATGATTTCTTGACCTCTTGACCATAATGTCAATTCATTCCAACTTATGCTTTGGTGAAAATGATATCTCTCTTTTGGGGTTAATTCTGGGAAAGATCTTGCTGGTGTGGTCACTGATTAAAGTATAGTCCCTTCACTTAGAAAGCTGAATCTGTTACAGTGGGTTGGAGAGGTGAGAATCTGGGTAACAAATGGGAAGGCTAGGGGAAAACCTATCACTAGTGTTCAGATAGCTGATATGCTGCTAGTGGACCAACTGTTATTTACCCAGCATTTTGCGAGCAATCCATTCCCAGTCTCTTCGATGATAAATAATGAGCCTCATATCCTATTAACTACACACTATTCCAAAAATCGTCTTTAAATTTATTTCATATTGTGTTATTACAATAATCCCTCTTTGGTAGTAAAACTATGCCTAAAAAGAAATAAATTAATGAAACAAATCTTTTGAACCAAATTCTGGTGCTACAGAATGAGTTCATGCATCATTATGGAGACCTGGGACACAGCCTCAGCTCTGCCATAAACCACTACACGACTCAACCTTTTCCAGTAATAGAGAACTAATAATGCACGTGACATGACGAATGTATTTGAAAAGGGAGGAGGCAACCCAGCAAGAAGAGGAGAAAGTTACCAGAGTAGTGTTGGGGAGGCTCCATCTGCCTGTTCATCAAAGCACACATTTTCCATCGTGACACGTAGCTGGGCAGAACCTCCAGCTTCTCTCGGCGAGTGAGGCATGGCACTGAGTCTAAACCAGGAGAATGCAGACAGAACTGAGCTCACCAGATGCTTTCTCCTCTTTCGGCCTCCTCAAGCCCCACTTCCTTCTTTATTAGAGAGATGCTGAGACCATGGTAACATGGAAAGCATCTAATGATGGCAGGACCCATTGAGATTAGGTCAATGAATAATGGTATGGAATACTTGCAAAAACTTACATCTCTGAAGATACAACCACAAAAATGTTTCTATTTGTATAAAGATACCAAAATTCCCAAGCTAATGTCATCTTCTCTATTTTATGTATCTTCTATTTCTGTATTTTATGTGTCTTTGGCGAGAGCGGGGTTCAGTCTTTGTATGCCGATGGCCTTGTTGTGTATACTCAACTTTCCCACATTCCACTCTCCCATGAAAGGAAACTTAGAAAAGTACAGAGAAAGTAGATGCTAAGGAGGATCTCACTAGCTAAGGATGGACATTCCTAACACTCTGGTAGATTGCCTTTCACACTTTGTTTTTAGATAGCAAACAAACAAACGAGCAAACAAAAAGACTATACTTCAGCATTTTTATACAGTCCTTACTCCAAACCTCCCTGACTTCAAATGGAGCCAATTTAATAGGTTTTATTTGGTGACTTACTGAGTGCTTGCATGTCAGAGACTAGCCCAGAGCTAGGGATAAAGATAAGTGTGACAAAATTCCTGTTCTCAAGGGATCTATATCTTCATAGAAGAGACAGGTACCTAAGCAGGTAATGAAAAAAATTCAATGAAGTGATAGAGAAAGGAGCTAAGAAAACAGAAACACATTTAAAATTAACACCAACATGTTTACTATAGATACTAGAATTTTTTCTACTTACCTCACAGATATAATCTCATTTAATATCCATATCATTCCTACTTGATGTATACCACAGTCACTCAGGGCTAAAGATGAGGAAAGCAAAGCACAAAGACCTTAAACAGCCTGTTCCCCCCTTTTCTGGGGGACACAAGTTACTCAATAAATGAGACTGTGTGTGTGTGTGTTGTATTGTGTGTTGTGGTATACATGTGTGTGCTATAGTATGTGAGTATGTGTGGTGTATGTGTGTATGCATGCGTGTAGTATGGTTTGTGTATGTGTGTGTGGTTTAAGTGTATATGTTATATGTATGCATATGAGTGTTGAAGTGTGTGGTTCAGAGTTGGAAATGTTAAAGACCTAGTGAAGGGAAGAGGAAGAGTGAGACTGAGAAAGTAGAGGGACACATGGGAAGTGACACACAGCCCAGACCTTTGGATTCTGATCCTGAGTGCTAGAACATGAATGGAGCATGTGTTCAGACTCTCGGGAAATCAGAAGTGAGACCCATGCTCTAAAATAGGCCCTCTCAGCTTTCAGGTTATGCATAGAGATGGATGGAAATGACAGAGACAAGAGAAGACAATCTACTTCTTTCACAATAATGACAGCTCAAGGTATTGTCACATCCAGAGGGGACACAAAGTCCACTGGGTGTAAAATTAAGCAAAAAACACAGTGCCTTTGGCATTTTCACGAGAGAATTTGGGGAAGTGTTGGCATTTGGATTGGGGTGAGTTTTCAACACAGAGACATGAACAAGGCCTCAAATTCTCACTTTAGACAGCTCTAAGGTGGCCTCTTGACCCTTTGATCTTCATCTAGATGGCAGCACATGTTCATCAAGATGCAGAAACCAAACTTCTGCAAGTGTTACACCACAGGCTCATGTGTTGGCCAAAGCAAGTTTGCAGTGTGGTGAAAAGTCTCTAGGAAGTGTGAGCCTCGAGGCAACATGTTTCTTCTCATCCCCAAACTGCCCCCATTTCCATCATGCCTTTCTTGCTCAGCTCCAAGCCCTCCCCGACAGGAGGGTTCTCCCACTTGCTCGATGTTCTGGTCACTTCTGAGGTCACTATGGCAGGATTTGTTTCATTTCCACCCCAGAAATCCTGCTGTAGCATCCCGAGATCATTATTCTTATCCCCTACCCCTGGCTTCAGGGCTGTGTGAGATCACATGACAAAACATTACCTTCTACCTGCAATTTCAGTTTAGGCTCTTGACCTGGGATCTCTTTGATCTGTGTAAGCCCAGTGTTGCAACAGTGATCTGTGAGAGTGGAGGAGGGACACATGAGGAGTGTGGTGACAGAAGAGATGGTCAAAGTGCCGCATCTTGAAGAGGACTGAGCCTGTCATTACTGTCATTGATAATGGAGGAAAGTGCCTTAAGCCCAAGAAGTGCAGACCATCTTTATAAGTGGGGAAAGAGAAGTAAGTCGATTCCTACCTACACCCTTTAAGAATGGGATGCAGCTCTGCCCACATCTTAGATCTAGCTGAATGGAATTGTGTCAGCCTTTGATCTCTAGAGCTGGGAGATAATAATTTGATGTGTTTCTTTTTAGACCCCTGTAGTCCACATTATAGCATAAATAGAAATGGGATACAACACCACAGACAACCTTTTGTCTTATAGGACAAGCACTTCAGAGTACCTAGCTCATCTAGGTACATTAGGTATAGTCCTCTTCCTGTCTTGCTTTGGACACATAACCACAATGACTCCTACTTTCAACTCAGATTTTCAAGACTGTGGGGTACCTGTTGTTGGGGATACCATGTTCCCATAGACCAGCAGTTCTCAACCTGAGGATCTTGACCCCTTTGGGGGGTCAAATGACCCATTCACAGGAGTTCCATATCTTGCATATCAGATATTTATGTTATGATTCATAAAAGTAGCAATATTATTGCTATGAAATAGTACTGAAAAATTTCAATGTTGGGGGGTTACCACAACCTGAGGAAGTATATTAAAGGGTTGCAGCATTAGGAAGGTTGAGAATCATTGCTATAGACGATGGAATGAGGCCCATTGATTTAGGATGTCATTCCATCCAGTGCAGCAGCAACCAAAGGGTAATGTGTCACCTTTCTGCTTATTGTCAGAGCACTGCCCACGCCCACCACCTTCTCGTGACTATCCCAGTCTTCCTCCACTACTTTTGAAGATGCCTGTTTCCATGTTTTGCCATTTGTGACAGATCTTGACTTGAAATCAAGTCTTGCATCTGCAGAACATTCAACAGTCAGTAAGTATCTACTGAATGTCAGGGTGTAGGCAAACTCTGAGAAGCCATAGTCACTCAATTAAGAGGGCTCAATAGGAACCTGGGAAGTCAGCTCGGGATCCGCACTTAAGCAGTGATGGCCCATATCCCCTGTCGCATCCCAGTTGAGGAAGACATGAGACTCCAGGTTCAGTTCAAGATTTGTTAAACAGAGCCACCTGGTAACACGTCGTATGCTGTGCCATGTCCGTCCTGGTGTAACGTGTCCCACCGTGTGGGATGCTTGAGATGCTGGTAGACGAAGCGGTTTAAAGTGGTCCACAGAGAGTGTCCGATAAAATTGATTCCAATTGTCGAGTGTGAGGTGATTTCCTTTAGAATTCTCTCACGGTTCCCTTGTGCATCAAGGTTAAAGTCTCTGTCCCATTATGCCAATGGCACTTTCTAATCTGAGATAGTCTGTTTTATCATAGGAAAGGCAGGTCTCAGTTAGGCAACAGGATACCTTTGAAAGATTTGTGGATGGATAATTAACATGATACAATATTAAAAGTGCATCATTCGAAGTTTTGACATGTCTCTATATCCATAGAACCATCGCCATAGTCACCCTTTAAATTTGTTCGTGATTTCTTTCCACTCCTGGTTCCACCTCATCCCCAGGCAATGGCTGACCTTTCTGCTGTTACAGATGAAGTTGTATCTTTGAGAGGTTTATGACAATGGGATAACATAATGTCTCCCCTGTCGGGGGCAGAGACCTGGCTACAGGATAATAAGTTCTTTGTTTTAAGAACACCAATATTGATTTAGTAGCCCCTTGTAGGATGTACTATAATTTATGTATCCATTAACTTGTAGATATACATTTGGTTCCCCACACACAAGTATTTGATTGCCAAAAGTAAAGAATGTAGGCACACTCCCATTCAAATCTCTGTGAATGTCCGGGAGTGGAATGACTTAACCAGACATCGAATGCATATTCAACTTAGGAAATCATAAACAGGGGTAGGTTTCACATAAAGTTTCTAGCTGATTTTCAAAGTGAAGGTACCACTTTATGATAATTCCCAGGGCATATATGGGTGCTGCCTTCTGTAGTCAATCTGTTTAAATTAATCCACCCTGGTGCATCATGCAGAAATCTTATCTTGTTAAATTCTAAGTTTATAATGAGGACCGACTTCATGTTAATTTTTGCATATTGTGTGATATGTGGATTAAAGTGTGGATCGTTTTGCATTTACCTACAATTGCCTCAGCACGATTCAGTGACTAAGTGTGGCTTCCTTACTGAATCAGCTTTATTCCTTTGTTAGGAATCCACTGCCCACGTGAATATGGGTCTGGTCTGCATTCTGTTCTGTTCCTGGGATCTGTGTCTGCTATGCCTGCCGCACACTCTCTCGGTTTCCACAGCCCAGCACTATGGCTTCAGAACATCTTCATCTCCAACTTTGTTGCTGCTGCTCTGGCGTTTCTAGACACCATTTCATTTTCCTATAAACTATAGAGCCAGGTTGTCAGTCCATGGCAAGACAGGATAGGGTTTGTTTAAATTGCTTTGAATCTATAAATCAATTTGGAGAAGTGATTTCCTAATAACATTGAGCCTATTGAACCAGATAGATCTCCCTCCTCTTGTCCAGCTAGTTTTTCACTGCTCCCAAGGAACTCTATTTGCATACCATTAACAAATGTGATTGTGATTATTTATCCCTATATTTTAAAGATTTTTGATTCTAATATTCATGGAAGTTTTTAGAATTTAGAGTACAACTTTGACTAATGGGTATATAAAGGAAATTTGCTTTACAAATTGGCCTTTAAACTTTGTTATCTTTTGTATTAGTTACTTGCTTGTTGCTGTATTAAAGACGATGACCAAAAGCAACGTGGGGAAGAAAGTGTTTATTTCATCTTATACTTCAGGATCACAGTCTGTCACTGGAGGCAGAAACTGAAACAAGTTTCAGAGAGAAATGCTACTTACTAGCTTGTTCCTCATGGCTTGCTACGCCTTATTTCTTATAGAAACCAGAACAACCTACCCAGAGGTGGTATTGCCTGGTTTGGACCCTCCCAATCAATCCTTAGTCAAGAAAATTCCTAATGGACTTGCCTATAGGTTAGTCTTACAGGGGCATTTTCTCAGTTGAGAGTTCTACAGGGAATCTGTACATGCGTGAGCACGTATATGTGTGTTCATCTTATTTGGGGGGACAGGGGTTCTCAGTAAACTTGAGGCTCACTGTTTTGGCAAGGCTAGCTGGTGAGTGAACTTCCATGATCCTCCTGTCTCTACCTCCCAGCATCAGAGTTATAGGTGTACATCACTGCTCCCAGTCTTTATGTGGATGCTGAAGACTGAACTCTGGTTCATACTTGTGCAGTTCTGACTTTACCCACTAAGCAGTGTTCCCAGACCCCAGCATAGCATTGCTTGCTATTAAAGACAGTTCTATTTCTTTTTATTCTAGATGTTTCCCTTCTTGTCAGTTATAACCAGCAGGGCTCTGCTGCATAAAGGTGGGAAGAGCAGACATCCTTTCTTGTCCTTGATATCAGTGGGAAGTATTATATGCTCATCGTTAAGCTGAATGTCATATTTAATTTTGGGGTATACGTTATTGCATGGGGAAGCTTTTTATACTCATTATTTGAACAATTATCAGATATATAAACATCTAGGATTTTCAATATGCTTCTGATAAATTGAACCTTTTAAATTCCAAATGATAATATCTATTTTATCTCTAATAATTTATTTTTCTCTAATATCTATTGTCTATCTTAGTATATCTGCATGGTGGTTTGAATAGGTATGGCCCCCCATAGAATTGTATGTTTGAATGCTTGACCTATAGAGAGCATCACTATTAAGAGGTGTGGCCTTATGGGAGGAGGTTTGGCCTTGTTGAAGGAAGTATGTTACTTCCTATGCTCAACTTACTCCTTACTGTTAGCCTACTATTGACTAAGGTTAATAAAACCTGTCTTTTTTACTTTTATCTTATTTGGTTCCTTGAGGAAATGTGGATTATATTTAGATCACTTAATGTTGCCTTTTGACCAATATTGAGCCAGCACCATGTCTGCCTGCATGTTGGTATGATGATAACAGACTAAACCACTGAACTATAAACTGCCTCTTCAATTAAATGTTTTACTTTATAAGGGTTGCCATGGTCATGAGATTTTTTCACAGCAACAGAAAGGCTAACTAAGATAGTAGGTGGTACCAGGGCCTGGGGTATTGCTGTGATAGGCCTGACCATGTTTTGGGGACTTTGGCTTAGGAAAGCAGTGGAATGCTTTAAGTACTGCTTAATGGGCCTTACTACGAAGAACATGGAAGACAGTGGTGCTGAGGATGATTTGAACTGTGGATGCTGGGCTCAGGAGGTTTCTGAGAAAAATTTTAGTATGTTGTCTAGAGATTGTTCTTGTGGTATTTTGGTAAAGAATGTGGCTACGTTTTGGCCCTTTTCCAAAGAGTCTGCCTGAAACTAAAGTAAAGAGATTTGGATCAATTTCATTGGCAGAGGAAATCCCAAAACAGCCTAGCATAGACTCTGTTGTATGGTGTTTAGTGTTAACTCTAATGAAGAGTCACAATGAAAAGAGCAGGATGTGAAAGGAAAACTACAAAATGTACAATTTGAGGAGAAAAGGAGCACCAGGAAGTGAAATGGAGCTAAGTCCTATGTTCAAGGAGATGAACAGATTATAGAATGGAATGTTTGATTTCATAGGATATAGTGACATGGAAAGACTTTGTGTCTGGCTTTAAGTGAAATGTATAGTAAAGCCTTTGGATTAAATGTTTCAGAAAAGACTTTGCTATGTTTGGGTTAATCAATAGAGGATGAGAAATTGTTTTGAGACTGTTTAGGTCTTAAAGAAATGTCTCCCTGGAGCATCTGCACCTGGTGCTGTGTGAGAGCTTGCAGCTACTGTGACCTTGGTCCTAAGACACGCCTGGCAAACCTGCAGCTCCTGAGATTTGTGTGGGTTGTCTGCTCTCATAGGCAGCAAGAGTTAGACTTTGGTAGTTGAAACCTTTCCCACCCCTATTAATCTTGTACATATTTCAGTAAAGTAACTGGAGTGAGTTACCTGGGTGTCAGTCTTTTCCAAGAAGTCTGAACCCCTCCTCTCCTTCAGAAAATGAAGGCTTAGCATCATGGTGAGTTTCTCTGTCTACTATGGCACCTATAACTGACAACAAACAATAACAGGGATTTCAGTTAAGAGATTTCATGAATCTCAGAAGAGACTGAACTTTTAAACATTGCTGAGATTGTGATAGATTATGGGACCTTTTGAAGTTGCTAAACTAAATGCATTTTGCATTATGTTATGATTCTACACCTATGGTGGCCAGGGAGTGTTGTTTGAATAAGTATGCCACCCGCCCCTCCCAGAATCATGTGTTTTTATGCTTGACCTATAGGGAGGGGCACTATTAGGAGATGTGTCCTTGTGGGAGTAGGTGTGGCTTTATTGAAAGAAGCATGCCATTGTGGGAGCAGGCTTTGAGGTCTCATATTCTCAACCTATTTTCAGTGTGGAACACAGTTTACTTCCTGTTGCCTGAGTATCAAGATGTAAAACCCTTAGCTCCTTCTCCAGCACCAAGTCTGCCTATGTACTGCCTTGCTTCCTGCCATGATAATAGTGGACTAAACCTCTGAAACTGTAAGCCAGCCCCAATTAAATGTTTTCCTTTATAAGAGTTGCCATGATCATGGTATCTCTTCACAGCAACGGAAACCCTAACTTCCCTTAAGTTAAGACAAACTGTTGGCCTACTATTGATTAAGGTTAACAAAACCAATCTTTTTGCTTTCAACTTATTTGTTTGAGGAAATGTAGGTTATGTTTAGACCATTTACGTTTATTAAAATGATTGGTACAGTTATGTTTAAATCCATTATCTTGTTTATTTTGCATTCATCTTATCTCTTCCTTTTCCCACTTATTTTCTCTGTTCTCTCCCAATAATTTTCTTACCATTCTATTTATTTCCTTTTTGAATTATTAGTAATATATTTTTGATGTTGCTGTTTTATTATTCGATTTGTGATTTATAACATACCCTGTTAACTTTTCATGCTCTTCTGTGAGTACCATTATTCTACATGGCAGATAATACAATAACATTGCAATATTACAATTTTGCTCTTCTTTTCTTACTCTATTACGGTTGCCTTCACTTTTACATATTTAGTGAACCTAACCTGATATTATTTTATGATTTATATTTAAATAGTCAGTTATGTGTCAGACAAAGCTACATAATAAGAAAACTTCTACTTCTTTTTCCTTTGTATCTAGCACTCAAATAGTTTTCGTTCTTTGAGGGTAAGAACATTTCTACTTAGTGCTCTTCTTTTCCCTGAAGGGTCCTCAGAATATTTCTCCTAGAGAATTCTGTTGCTGATGAATCGCTCAGGTGGAAGCATCTGTACACTCCTTTATGTCTGGGAGTCATTTTTGTGTGGTTCTGGTTTCCAGGCTACAACACTTCAGCGTTTTAAAGATGCTATGCTTCTGTCCTCCTGTTTGTGGATTCCTCCAAGAAAGTGTCCTGTTTCTCCCTAAAACTTTAAAGATTTTCTTTTTGTCAATTTGATTATGATATGCCCTGATCTAGTTTCAACTTCATTTCTTAGATTTGGGATTTTATAAAGTAAAATTTGTGATGTGCACTTTCAATTGCTTTTTAAGTTAGCATGTTCAATGATGGATTTTATGACATTTTCAGAAATATATGTTGCTGAATTTTATTCTTATTTATTAAAATTTATTTAATATTTTTATGTTATCTCTCTTTTCCATTTTCTCTCAGAGACTTCAAATGAATATATTATTAGGCTTTGTGAAGCTGTCCCAGCGTTTCATGCCTTTCTGGTTTCAAAACCCTTTCCTACACTAGCTCCTTGTTGCTTCTATTTCTGTATTCAGGGTCATAAAATGTTTCATATGCAACTTCAAAACTGTTATTCATCCATCAGCATGTTCTCCTCAATCACTGTGGTCATCTGATCTATGATTTCAGTCATATACATATCTTATTGGCCTCTAATATTTGGAAAATAAGGACATATGGTAGATATAACTTTTAGTGTTCTACCTGCTATTTATAGAATATAGGTCAGTTCTGAATTGATTACTTACTGCTTTTGTCTGAATATAAGGTAAGTATTTTATTTTTCTTTTTATGTTTAGTAATTTTTGTATTCGAGACATTTTAAATCTTACTTTGTTGGGTTGATACTTTTGTGCTTGTGTAAACATTTCTGGACTTTGTTCAGGGTCACAGTGACCTGAAAACAGCCTGACAGCTTGGGGTTTGTTGTTGTGTGTCCCTAAGTTTTATGAGGCAGCAACCTACGCTGGGGTTGTTATTCACAACTTCCAAAGCAAGGTCTGGTTAAGACAAATTGACAAAATAACTCATGAATCTTGCAATTTTTTTATCTAGTTGCTAGAAACAGGCACTCTATCCGGCCTGTGTGCAGCCTGAATATAAGTTTCTCTAACCCTTTTGTGTGATCTAATTCTCCATTCTTAGAGATTTTTTCACATACATGTGGTGAATAGTCATTACCTTTCTGAATACTTGGTGGGGGAACATCAGCATATATTTTGGGTACTCATCCTTTTCCATACTCATCACTGGTTGTCTATTCTATGAATTATAGCCCCCTTGCTGTCTCTGGACTCAAGATCATTTCCTATGGTCTGGAAATCCTATGGGCCTGATCTAAATTCTTTGTCCTATGTCACTAATACGACAGTTAAGCTCAAATCCATTAGGTTTTTTGCTTGTTTGTTTGGGGGATGCTTTTAAGGATCACAATTTTTTTTTTTTGGTTTCTCAAGATGATCAGATTTCATGACTCTTACCAGTATAAAAGAGGAGGGAAGTCATGCAGATTAGTGCAAGAGTACTTGCCCAACATGTTTGTAGGGGCCCTGTTCTTGTTTCGGGGAGATGGAGGGAGAGACAAGACAAGAAATTTTGCATGAATAACTTTTGAAACAATGCCCAGTGTTTTCTGATGGCATTTGCTCTACTACCGTCTCACAATGTGGGTGGTTTTGTGTTTTGCCACCAGGAGAGAGCACAAAACATACCAAATGAAAAGTTGATTTTCTTGATTTTCTTTGGAAAAGTCTTGGTAAAGGTGGAAAAGAATATAGATCATCACCCCACTGCTTCTTCCATGACTCCGTGTCTATATTAAATTAATAAACCATTTCTAGTTGTTAACAGTTTGGTGACTCCAGTCTCTTCAAGGAATAGAACCAAATCTGAATTATATTTATGAGGTTGATAAGTAAGTCCTTGTAAAGTTTGATTTTGAGCTTTAACCATAGGTATATGACACCAGCTAACAATTTTGACTTCTTTCTCTCCCCTTTCAGACATTATTATAAAGCAAACTAGTCCATAGATTGTCTTGGTCATCATTGCATTGCAGAAGTGAATTAAAGGCCTGGCGCATATCAGGTGTTTCATGAGTATTTCTAGAAGAAAAAAAGGAAGGAAAGGATGAGAAAGAATAATGGAAGAATACAGTCCAGGGGTAGTTGAGCCTTTCAAACAGGATATGCGCTTCAGAGCATAGATCGGATCTATTACTGATTACTGTACTTCTTGCCTGACTCGTGGTATTTGCTTAATGCGTCTTTGTTTGTTGAGTGCATACATCAGAGACAATGCACACAGCCCTGGCATCTTCTGTCTAGTGAGAATGGCAGTGACATATTTACATATGATTATAACTACTGCAATGAGAGACAAAGGAAAAGACCAGAACATGGGGTGAAATCAAACAAATCCTCAGTAGTAAGTTGGGATTTCTCTGGCAAGTGAAAAGGCCTGAATGGTGAGGAGCAGTTGCCTAGGAGATCAGTGGGGAAACTGAGAGGCAGCGCTTACCTCTTCCACAAGGTCCTCTGGATTTGTAATTCTTAGTTATAGAGAGTGCATAAAAGTCAAATCGACTAATCCAATATTAGGTGTTTATAAATCTTCTCCCGTTGGAGGGACCACCATCACTGTATGACTTAGTCAAACTCTCCCTACATTGCAGGGAGTCACAAGATGCAGAAGAAAAAGTCAGGTCATGATCGAACTAGTTAAAGAAAAATATTTCTGGAGCATTTTGGGAGACAAAACTAATTCAGGTTTCCACTCAGCAACTAGGAGCTGTCCTATGACCTCCCGAACTAGAACTGTCCATGTTTATCTCACAGAACATGGGTCTTTCTTAAGAAGAAGATTCAAAGAAGTATGGAGAACCCAGCCCCACCTCAGAGGAACAGGACAAAGCTACGCCTGCCCAAGGAAGGCTAGCAAGGTGGGGAGATACAGATACTGCAAGACGGCGCCATCTTCAGCACTCTGAGTTTTAACGACAACACAAGTAGGTTCCCATCTGTGTCCACGCTCACTGCTTCCCTTCTTCCACTTTTATCCTGCCCCACGCACCCTTGCTAAACATCCCACGGCGATTTCAATTTCCTTTCTGCTTCTCAAGCAGTCCAGCTCCTGCCTGCTTGAGCTTTGGTGTGCTCTTTCAAGAACACCATAGAAAAGATTTCTTTCTAGTCTTACGTGCAGAGCCAGTGGCTGCCCAATCAGAAAGGCTTTCCGAAAACTCACGGACATTGTTATTTTTAATTATTTATTTTTGGTATTATTTATTTATTTATTATTATTAAAAATTTCCACCTCCTCCCCTCCTTACATTTTCTCTCCCCCCCCCCCCAGTTCAAAGAGCAGTCAGGGTTCCCTGCCCTGTGGGAAGTCCAAGGTCCTTCCCCCTCCATCCAAGTCTAGGAAGGTGAGCATCCAAACAGACCAGGCTCCCACAAAGCCAGACCATGCAGTAGAATCAGAACCCAGTGCCATTGTCCTTGGCTTCTCAGTCAGCCCTCATTGTTAGTCACATTCAGAGAGTCCGGTTTGATCACATGCTCCATCAGTCCCAGTCCAGCTGGCCTTGGTGAGCTCCCATTAGATCAGCCCCACTGTCTCGCGGTCCTGACTTCCTTGCTCATGTTCTTCCTCCTTCTGCTCCTCATTTGGACCTTGAGAGCTCAGTCCAGTGCTCCACTGTGGGTCTCTGTCTCTATCTCCATCCATCGCCAGATGAAGGTTCTATGGTGATATGCAAGATATTCATCAGTGTGGCTATAGAGACATTGTTATTTTTACTACATTTTTTCTCAGCTCCTTATCCAGAATGCAAGCCTAACAAGGGCCAGGGTGTTGTTTATGCTATTCTCAACTGTAGCCTTAGCACTACCAATAAATAATACTTTACATATAGCAAGTATTTGGCAAATACTTTTAAATACATGAGCTAGAATCAGACACTATGTTAGGGTGCAGTCAGTGGGTTAATATGCCCATTAGTTCTAAGCGGCTCCTTAATTTTAGAACAAAATAGAGGAGCTTCATGGTTTTCTATCAAACTTAGGAAAAAAATGGTTATGGGCAATGTACATTGGCTTTTGCTGGCATGATCACTGTCACAGACAGAGAGACACAGCAAGGAAATCTTCTGTGACCCCTGGGGATCTGTCTCTTCTATTTGTTGGAAACAAAAATTCTTCTGGTTTGATCTGGAAACCAAGTGTGTTCAGCTTAAATTACTTTCTGGCCTTGATATTAGCTTATCCATTGCCATTTGCCCAGGACAGTGGGCAGCACCATCCCCCGCCAGACCGTCTGGTAATGATGTCTCATACTCACTGTTCCCAACGCAGTCAGAACTATGTCCCTACCATAACATGCAAACTCGACTTCTACCGAAGTCAGTAATTATGCAGGGTCCTCAGCCTAGGAGGTCAGCAGACATTACAGAGGAGATGAGAAATTTCACCCACTGACAGCAACTTGAACATCTATTATTGCTTAAAACAAAATAAAAGCAGCTCTCTCTCCTCTCTCCTGTGATTTATTCTCTGAGAATGCTGTCGGGACGATGATTGTGGCAGAATAACAGGCTTGTCCATCAGGCTCCTGGCCACCCGTGCTTGTACCCTTCGTCAGGAAGCAGGAAGGAACAGTGTCTAAGTGACCAGACAAGAAAGGGAGTGAGAAATAAAGGAGCTGTTACTACTCTGAGATCTGAGAATGGGTGGCAAGCCTGAGCCAGGGAGGATCGTGCAGGCGAGGAGCTGGGTTGGAACCTGAGTCTTATCCATTTCTGTCTAGAGGACCGAAGGCAGGTCCTTCAGGTCCTTCTAACTTCCGTTATCTGCATATAACATGAAGATAATAGTTTTGGTTGTGAGCATAGAGGGGAGGGGGACTGACAGGATTGGAGGGAGGAGAAACTGCGGTCTGGTTGGAGAGTAATGTATGAGAGAAGAATTAAAAAACAAAAGCATATCATTGAAATCATTGGTTGTTTGAGCCCAATAAATACACAGCCTTTTAAAACTAAAACTTGCCTTGGTAAATCAACTACTGGTTATATTTCTAAGTGCTTTCCTTTTATTTCTCATAGATTTTTGGGAAACGGTAGAAAGTTCTGGGCGTTCAAAGACCTGTGAGATTTTTGAAGTGCAGTGCCCAAATTGTTAGGGAGACAGTTATCACTATGATGGAGAAAATTAGGTGCCAAAAAACCTGGGAGGCAATCATCCTTCTACCACCCATCAAGCACGCATCCCTGGGCCAAGCTCTGCACAGCTCTGGCATTCTCTTTGGTCGTAAAACAGGAATCCTGAGCGGTTTCTCTATGACGCCTTGCTAGATAACCCAGAAGCAATTCGTTAGTTATGTAATCGAATTGGTGGGGTTATCTGTACAAGGAACTCACCAGTTGGCCTTTGAAGTGGGAGTTCTTCAAAGTGGCTTGTCATCTGAGACACTTTGTACATGTGGCTTTCTGGTGCATCAACAGTCTTCCAATCCTGCAGGTCAGAAGCAGGGCACAGCCGGTTTCGTTTTCATTTTCAGGGGCTCTGAATGCTGCTGCCAATGCAGCTGCCTCCTTCTCCTTCTCTTCCTCCTCCTCCTCTAGGACCTCTATGCCCTCCCTGGTTGATAACTTGGTGTGTAGATCAGTCCGGCTCCTGTTCTTACTGCAGTCCTCGGTCTCTGCTTCTCAAATGCTGTCCCTGCAGGTGCACAGCCCCATACCCAGCTTCTGGGTGCTTTCTCACATGCAGCCATGGCCGAGAGTATGGCCACAGGGTGAAACACACTGTGCTATCTTGTCCTTAGAAGAGAACCTTACAGATCCTGTCTAGCACCAAGACGAGTTCCTTGTTTATTTGGGGATTTTTTTTATTTACTTGTTCCTAACTGTGCACAGGACTAAGCCCACAGCACAGAGCCCAGAGTACACAGGGCCAGGCTCTACAGTAAGGCCACACGATGGGAAAAGGCGCTCTCAGTGTGGTAGTGAAGTTTAGTGACCCTTTTGCTCTCCATATGTATTCATGGTGTCTAACCTATAGGCCGCCATCACAATAAACTCTCACCCCAGCTTCATCTGTTCCTTTCCTTTCCTATCATGTGGGCAATGATTCTCAGGAAGAAAAAGAGAAAAGATTTCTATTCTTTATGGGAAAAAAATGAATCTTAAAAGAAGCCAGTATGGCATACCAAATAAAGGAAAAGAACAGAAAGCCAGAAAAGGTGTTCTCCAGACAGTAGTTTAGAGGCGATCCTTGGTCTTTCCTGCTCAGCATCACCAGGGATAACTTCCAGTGGATTTTGGGTCTCTTCCTACTATGAAAGGCTGTATCAGGCCCTTCACTATGTAGAGCATCAAGGTGCAAACAGATGGAGCCCACCAGTCGTGGTCACACAGTCTGTACTACACAAAGGAGAAACCAACTCTTTGCTTGCCTGGGAGCCGCAGGGTGTTGGTGGTTCCCGGATGTTGCCACTCGGCATTCTTTTCCAGCAGGGCTAACACAATCATTCCTCTGCTAAAGGCATGATTGCACGAATGGCGCAGATCGCCTTTGCTTCAGAAGGTCAGGCAGCTATTAAATTTCCACTCTTCAATCAGCCTCATGTCTCTTCCCCGAGGACTAGTGTGGGAGATTTTCTCCCCTCGGTGTGAATTGTATTGGGCCTATTATTAAATTTTCCCCCGGTGAATGAGGAAATAAAGGAGACACGAGACACTTAGGAAGTACACATTCCGCATTCTTTTCAGTGTGGCCTAGGAGACGCTGTACAACCAGATTATTTTAGGGCTTGATTTTTTTTTTTTTTGCATGAGAAAAAATGAGTAGCTTCTATAGACTTATTCACATTTGAAAACATTCAGATGATAATAATTGAAGTAATTAGGAAGCTAGTTTCATCTATGATAATGTCTTCTGAGACACTAGGTACATAATCAGGGGCAGAAGGATGGGTAAGATGGGAAAACCCAGATATATGGAGAACACATCTCTCTGAGTTCTGCTGTTTGCTCTGATGGTTTGCAGAAACAGATTTTCTTGGGGACTCACAGCTCCCCTGTTTCTGACAACATAGCAGCACAACCTGTGTTCCTCCTTAGAATATTCTGAGATTGGGGGCAGCATGCCATTTATTTATTATTATTATTTCTCTGCTGTAGGCATTGAACAGATGGATCACTTCACTATCAAATTTGACTTAAGTTTCCTAACACCCCATCTGAAGGCCATTGCTGTTTCCCTGTTACAAAGAGACAAACTGGAGTTTGAGGAAGTAGCTAAGTTGCTTTTGACAGCTGGGGGTTGGCAGAGACCGGGCTTAGCTCAGGTGGTAGACGTTAGGGCCTGTGTGTTTCGGGCCTGTGCTGTGAGGCATTGCTCCAATCCCACTCTCTTCCTGCCACCCCACTCTAGCCCTGGAAGGCCTCACCAGAACCCTCCCCCACACACACCAGAAGTAAGTATTTGTAAAAAAAAAAAAATCTTAGAAATTTTAGATACTGCGCCTTCGTTAAGTGATCAGTCATGTGTTCTCATTGACAACTGTCCCCTTTTCACAGCACCCAGATCGTACTTAGAGCTCTACAATCTTTTTGATATTTATCTTAACAAATTTTGACAGTTGACAAGACACGTTCATTCATTTATCTATTCATCCTTCCATCCATCCTTCCACCACCTCTTCATTTCGTCGGCTCTTGCGCCAATAGCTATTGACTACCCAGTAGACGTCAGGCACGGCATCAGAGGCTTGGAACAAACGGTGAGCTTACTGGCTACCCTCATCCCATTGTGAAAACAGCTTAGCCCGGAGACTGAGATTACTCCCAACGCTGCCCCCAATACCGAGCTCTAAAATAATCAAGTATCACAAACAAGCGCAGCGATCTGAGTGCGTCGACTGGGTGCACCTGAATTTGTCCTGGAGAATTTCAGAGGCCTTCCCGCAGAAGATCCGTCGGTCGGGGCTGACAGAAGAAAGGTGCGCAATCCCCAGTAACAGTTATCACTCACGGAGTGTGGCTGCGTACTGGGTTTTGGACTGTTTTTCTTCTACTAACTTAAGAACACTTTAATGTAAACGTAGACACTGTTTTTTTCAGAAATGGTACTTACATGCATGTGCCAGTCTCTGCCCTTCGTGTCGCTGAAGAGGGAGGCACTACAGCAGGCACGGACTTCTGAGGCTGAAGCATAGGAAACATGGCAAGTATGGGAGGCTGGATGCGATGAATACGCAGAGGGGAATGGCTGGGGGCTGCTGAGGTTTTTGATGAGGTTTTAAGAAGCCACTGTCTGTCCTTTTGCTAGGAAAATGACATACTTAGAGCCATCTTTTCAAAATCCTGTTGGCTGTGCCTGAAGAGATGGCTCATCGGTTAAAAGCACTCCCTTTGTATAGAACTCAAGTTTGATTCCCAGCACCCTCATCAAGCGGCTCAAATGCCTGTAACTCTAGATCCAGGGGCACCTTCTTCCGACTCCTGCGGGTACTGCGTTCATGACCACATACCCACACACAGAACCCCATACTTACGCACAATTGAAAATAGTAAATCGTATCTCTTTGGCTGTTGAGATAGAGGAAGGTAGGAATGGTGTTGGGGTTACCAACTAGGGGACTATTGTTCTCTTACAGGAATTTCAAAGATATTTGTGGTCAAGTCCTGTATTCAATTCCAGTTACATAATGTAAAACACGAAGACTTACCGGATAAAATATGTCTTTAATTTATCTCCCTTCTTCACTTACAAGATCTCTACTGGAAAAGTTCAGGCCTTGTTTCTCGCAGTCATTGATTGCACAGGGGCCTGAGGTTGTTCGGATGTGTCGTGTTCACCCGCAGGCACTAGAGCTAAACATCCCAGCAAACTCAGAGGCCCCTGACACAGACAATAGACATTAGGAAGCCCAAACTCAGCAGACTCGGCATTTCTTCAGTTCTGAGTCAGGAAAGAAAAATCAGTAAATTCTGTAAGTCTAAATGAAGAGTTAAAGGGCAACTTTAATAAACGTTGTAACTACAAAGCTGAGGTCTTATCGTGCTAGTATGCCCTTAAATACACAAGAGCCACATAGGCCTTGTATGTACTCAGCCACTCGAGAGGCTTTTCAACTAAATGGAAAAGAGTTAAGGGTTAAACATCTTGTTTGCAAAGATTATACTATTTCAGTGGGTGCTGTGTTAAAAACATTCAGACAGAAAGGAAGATGATCACACACACACACACACACACACACTCACACACACTGAATCAGAAAATGGAGATGCTTGCCCCACCATTTTGGGGGGCTTGGGGTTCACCCCTCTAATTAATTATTGATCTCCAGATTGCTACATTGAATGTTTGAGGTAAAGCTTTTTCATTTTGGGGGAACACATCTTATTCTATTTGGTTCAGTGTCAATATTTGGATTTAAATAAAAAAACAAAATGATCTCATATCCAGTCAGAGTGGCTGGCTGGCTGTTCTAGGAGATAATGGAGTTGAAAGTGATGTTTCTGCATCCCCACACGCTCAAACATGAGGCATGGAAACTAAAAAGCATCAAGCCGAATGAGATTGTAACTCTGTGGGATCCCAGACAGCTGGGTCTTCCGACAAGGTCAGGGCCTCCTACTAGATCTCCAAGAATAAGCAACACCTCATTTGAAGTAATGTATTTATGGGTACAGCGCTTCTGGGAACATGTTCTCCTCAGACTGTCACACAGTCCTCTTAGAAGGGCGGGGATAATACTGTAAGTTCCACTTCAGGGTTAGAGGGAAATAGAAACTCAGCAAACTACAGGGCAGAAAGGGCCAGAACGAGGTAAGGCTCAGTAGCAATCCTTTGGCACAGATCAACTCTGAGGTGTTTGCTCAGTGAGCAGCATTCTCCTCCCTCTCCTGACTCTCTCTCTCTCTTTCTCTGTCTGTCTTTCATCCTCACTCAACTCTCTCCCTTTCTTTTTTTCCCCTTCTCGGTCTGTGCTTATGAAACACTTCTCTGAATAACCCTACTGTGGTAGTCGCCGATGAGAGAACCCAGGCAATAAGCCAGATAACCCGAGCCAAAACAAAACACAACTGTTCCTAGAAACGAGAAGACTAGAATTTCTGAGCCAAATGTTAATAGTGGTGAGCCAGAATTCAGATAATTGAGGTAAATATGGTTTGTTTTGTCTGTTTGACTTAATTAGCTGAAAAATATCCTTATTTCTATTTATATCTGGGTGCTGGAACTCCAACCCACAAGATAGTCAGTACTTCTCTGGAGAATTCATTTCAGTGATCAATTGCGTTCTTGATCACTAATTATAAAAAGTGCTTGGAAGGTTGAATGACATCATATGTTGAATTGCACCACATATGGGGAACCATCAGTGAGAATTATCAGAGTTTATTTTATGGTGGAAATTGAAGTGTTAGGTGCAAGGGTAAGAACTGGAGTGTAGGAGGGGCTAGCAGGGAACCAATAACTGTGACATATTTGCCATTGCAGTGTATTCAGCAAAAGGAGTCATGGCACTTGGCAATAGCATCAACATTCTCTGCTTGAGCCACATAGAGTTTACAGGTCCATGTTACCAGAAAAATGGGGCTAATCTTGCACCCCAGCCTTAGCACACATATGCAAGCTTTTGAGTGTCCATAGATACAGCAGGAAGCCTTCACCACTTGATAAGGAGGGGATTCCCTTTCCATCTCATTGTTGCTGACTTCATCAAGCAGGAAGTCTGAGTTTGGAGTTAAGTTTTTAACATTTGATAATAATGCCAGCCTCTACCTAAAATAAGCAGTGGATAAACTTAGGATCTTAGGGGGACACCCAATAAATCAAATTTATTCTTTTATATTTGGTTTATAGAACTGTTTACTAAATAAAATAATAATATAAGATTTCCTTTTAAATAAGCTTTAGTCAAAAGAGGAGGTTTCAAATGAATATAAACATTATACAAGTATTTTAAAAAATAAAGATAATATGGTTTGTTGTTTAAAATTTAAAAAAATCCTAGCCGTAATATTAAAATAATCAAAGCTTAGAAACCATATAATCAAAGAAGCTGTAGCTGTCCTACATGGTCACATGGCATCTTGGCCTTAAATTTAATGTTATCCAAGGCTCCCTGTCCAAAGAGAATGGAGAGATGACAGAGGTAGCTGTCTCAAACCATCATCAGAGAGTCTATATCAGCAATGCAAGTGTGTGTGTGTATTGACCACACACACAAAACCAGAGACAAGCTTCTTAGTGTGAGAGATTTGGGCCTGTAACTTTCTTTAGTGATAACGTGGTAGCTAAGTGTAGAGAAGAAATACTCTATTTTAAATGCCTCTAATGTTTTTAAGTTGCCAGTTCTAAAAGATTCTAATAACTGTGAAGCCTCAGATTTGGTTGGTTTGGTCTTAGTTTTTCACCTATAGACCATTCCATGTCTTTTGTACATGTCACTTCCTTGGTAGTAAAACAGGACAAACCAATGAAGCAGTCATTTCTTATTGCAAGAGTTCTCTAGCCACTGATCAGTTTGATTTAGCTGGTATTAAAAATGCAAAACCCTCATGGGAGAGCTATTCCTCCCCACACACTATGGGAGAGATGACCCCACTCCTCACCACTGGCCTAGGAGAGTTGGCTCCACCCCACAACTGAGGGGGCAGGCCCAGTAGCCCAGACTGACCAATTCAACTACTATGCAGAAACACATCCTGGGCCTTAGGTTGTCCCAACTGGTATCTACCCCATCAATGACCTGTTTGAAGATATTGGTCCTGAGGAATGATAGTGGTGGGATCCCCATGACTCGAGATAACAGCAGACTATCTAAGAGGAGTTTAGGCGAGGGTCAAGTGATTGTGTGTCAGAGGCCTTGAACCAGACCAATGACTCATTGCAATGAGCATTTGTATGGGGGACTGACTGCACGAAAGGGTAGACTGTGTGTCACACCTCAACAGCCAGTGCCACTAGGAAGAATGAAGAGGTGTCGGAGAGATGGGAAACACAGGAGAGCAATGTGGTTTTTGTGTTTGTTTTGTTTTAACAAATTTTAGGGGAGTTTCCTTGGGGATGCTACAGGGGTGAGGGACAAATAGGGAAGGATTGAGAGGTGAGCAGAATTGAGGTGAATGATGTAGCATTCCCAAAGAATCAACAAAGAATTAGGTGTTTTATGGTGTAGGAGGGTCTTCTTTCTATGTGTTGCTTTCATTGGTTAAATAAAGAGGCTGCCTTGGCCTTTTGATAGGACAGCAGCTTATATAGGTGGAGTAGACAGAACAGAATGCTGGGAGAAAGAAAGCAGAGTCAGGCTGACGCCATGGTTCTCCTCTCTGAGACAGACACTGGTTACACTCATGCCAGTAAGCCACAGTCAAGTGGCAATACAGATTATTAGAAATGGGTTAATCTAATATGTGAGAGTTAGCAAATAAGATATAATGGACCAGGCAGTGTTTAAATGAATAATTTCCGTTAATTATTTCAAGTAAAGCTAGCCGGGAGCCAGGTGGTGGGTAGCAGCCCACCACTCTTCTTTACTACAGAGTGGCACCCAATTATTTAACCAATGAAAGCAACACATAGAAAGAAGACCCTCCTACACCAGTTGTATATGCATATGTATAAATATATGCATAATTCATATGCATATATAATAACAATTCAAAGCTTTGTAAATATACTTGGTTTTTGCCTCTGGATTCTCTTGATCTATGCCTTAAAAACATCAGTCCTAAGTCTTCTTATTGTTGATATTTCATTATTATCTGTGTCCCATCTACAGAGCCACCAAAATGCCTAATTCATATCATTGTAACTGAACAGTCAAGAGACTTTTCTCCCTAGCTCTGTTCTTTATTGATTCATTCTGGGAAGAATTGTTAAATATTATTTCATTGCATACCAGAGCTAACTCTATCAATAAGCTACATGCTCATGCTTAATGGGAGAAATTGATACTAGTTGGTTATGTATATACCCAAAGGTATATCCTATTTGGTGTTAATGGCAACTTATATTTGAATGTACAATCATTCTTGCTCCAAAACAGACTCTGTGCTTTCTCTTATCACTTTGCCACCAAACGTTATCATACTTTCATGCATACAATGGACACTTGATAAATATGTTGCATTAATACATTCATCAGTACAACACTATTAGTCAATATAATTGCTAATCACTGATACAATAATATATTATTACTCCAGAAAAGT